TTGCATTGCGCTTCTCCCCTCCAAAGTGCTTTTTGAAGTATGGTACGACCTCAGTGCTTCCCTCTTTACGTATATGTGAAGTGGATTCAGGTTTATGAGGACTTCCATAGCTGCTGTAGGCGTGATGCGCAACGCTCCCGTTATCGCCAGGCAAGCCATTCTCTGCAGTCCGCTAAGTGCGGTTTTCTGATTCGCCTTGCACCACCATACTACAGAGCCATAGGTTATCATTGGTCTGATAACTATGGTGTAGATCCAGTGAATCTGTTTTGGATTTGTTCCCCAGGTCTTTCCACAGATCCTGTGGCAGTTCCAAAGCAACCTTTTGGCTTACTTTTTCCAAATCAGCGTTCCAGTTTAAAAAAACTTTGCTTCATTTGAAAATTGTACTAATTCTCCCCGAATAGTTAGGGGTACCAAGTTATCAAGTTTTCTTCTCCTGGTGAAGGGTACTATGATCATTTTGTAAAGATTGATTATCATTTCCTCTCTCTCGCACCAATGAAGCACGCAGTCTAGCACCTCTTGGAGTGCAGCCCAGGTCCTCGTCTCAGAACTACCCTTGGCTATTATAACCAGATCGTCCGCATATGCTTGAACCTCGACCCCCCACAGTTGTATCACGGCCAAAAGGTCATCCACAAGAAGTGACCACAGAAGCGGAGAGTACTTTTTCCTGCGGACAGCCCCTGGCGGCCCTGAATCTGACCGTTTTTATCTCTAGAGAAGTCGTTATCACTCCACCGTTCAGCATGTTCCTAATCCAGTTACAAATTAGCGGGTCGATGCCTCTAGATTTTGTTGCCTCGTAGAGAAAGCTTGGCATCGCATTGTTGAAAGCTCCCTCTATGTCTAAGAAGACGGCAAGTATAATGCTCTTACGTTCCAGATCTAGTGTCATCTATGCTAGCGACCAGGTTACTTAGGCCCGTAGGCCTAGTCATTCGCCAACGACTCGCCGGAGCTTCGGTATTTTACGGCCACGCTCTGAATATTTGACGGTGGGGGTGAAGATCATCTCAGGCAAAATATATTTTGTATTTTTAGCTGTATTGAATATTTTGGTGTAGTTTTGATGTACGCAAATAATAATTTTCAGTAGGTACTTATATTGTTTTTCCAAATTGATACTAGATCAATAACTTTTCCTGATATTAGCCTAGGCACCAAACTAGGGTTGTTGACGACCTTTTGACAAAAAACCCCTATTGAAACGTAGTTTGCAGTTCGGTATTTTACAGCGAGTCGCTGAATATTTGACGGAGGTGGTTAAGACCATATTCAGCCGCCAGAAAGTATATTTTGTATTTTCATCCGTCCTGAGTGTTTTGGTGTAGTTTTAATACAATATAATATTGTCAAATAATCATCTTTGGTCCTTTTATTGAAAAGATAATATAAGCCCTTTTACAGCATTTCATGTATGATGAAGCAGACAACCGCAAAAGAGAAACAATTATTAAATTGCACTCTGGGTTTTTCGAAATTCGTACCTACTAGACTAATTACTTTTCATGGTATTAGCATAAACACCAAACCTTTTGACGAAAACCCTCTTTGAAACGTAGTTTCGAGATTGTTATACCTATTTTCAAATAGAACCCATTTAGAAGGAATCATTTATATGCTCGGTATTCAGAGTAAACGATTATATTAAATTATCATCTGTTGTATTTATTTTCTCCAAATTGGGAATTCAAATTGAACAGTAAGTATCCCGATCTCGATATATTATATAATGCAAATCGAGATAATTTTGATTTGGAAATAGAAATACAAATACCACGTAGGTATGTAATAAAGTTGAACAAGTGTGGTGTAATATGTTAGTGATGCGTTATTGTTTTAAGATATATTCAGAACATGGAAAGCCCCTCATTATACTTTTCTAAGTATAATGAGATAGAATTCAAAAAACGATTTCGCTTTTCCAAAGAAGTAGTGAGGTATGTTTTGTTGCCATTAGTTGATGATCAGGGACATAGGACAACCGGGGACTACCTGTTCCTGTGAAAATATGCTTGCGTTTTTATGCTACAGGAAGTTTCCAGGTAATTATATACATCATTAAGAGGGGCGTTTAAATAAAAAGTTATTCACAGACCACAAATTTCTGTTATATTCCATATTCAGACCACTTTTCAGTAAAATAAAGTAAGGTTCATAACAATAATAGATTGGAGTATGGGTCGAAGCATTTTTGGTTGCAATACGCAGTCAAATAGTAAACTTATTAACAATTTTGTTGACAACAATATCTAAATTTTGGTCACGGATTTAAATGAAAAAAGGAAAAACAGATAGAGTAGCTCACCAACAATAAATTTCCAAAATTTCGGATCATAAAATATTGGAATAAATGAAAATAACAGAATTGACGAAAATTTATAATGTTTTTATTCCAAAATTAATCAAAATCTGCCAAACAAGGAGGTGATTGCTGTCATTTTCAGCAGAGACTCAAACCAAACGTGTGTTCAGCGATTCTCTTAAAGATGTCGCTGAGTTCGGGAAGCGTAGTTACTTTTTTCAAACGCTAGTGTACGCATCTGCCACATAAGATATTTTTGAACTGTAACTGTAGAGCTGAAAATCTGTAGGCCAAAACTGGAGGACAGAAACTTCGACTCTTTGTTATGTACAATATTTACACTTCATTTACACTTTACACGGAAATAAGATGGCTATAGGCCAGAGCTTATGTTATGTTTAAGATGCCACAAAGGCAGAGCTGTATTTTTATACAATGAATGGCAGAAACTTGAAACTTGGAGGAGCTCCTCCAAAACGTTGTTCTCTTTATGAAGGTTGGAAGAGAAGAGGCTGAGGTGACGTTTTTTAGCTTGCCTTTTTTCCTCCACTCTTCTTCTCCTACAATTCATGACAGATGACAGAATAAAACATTTAACTTAATGAATTGCGGTTAGAGAAACAGAGAGAGACAACTAGATTGTTGGATACGTTTTCAACATGCTGGGGGGCCTAAGAGTTTCGTAATGAAACTCCAGACAATTATTTCAGTCTTCAAAAGGCAGAAATTAATTTTCAAATAAAATTAGAATGTTAAATTCTTGAAAACAAATCTGTTGCAAAATTCTTAAGCTGGGACTACAAAAGTCTTAATTTTTGTTAAATATAAACAATATGAATTCAATGAATACAAAATTCAACTTATGAGAAGGTGAAACACCAATAATTTGAAGGAAAAATCCTGGGAAAAATATACAAATGTTACAAGATTTAGAAAGTATAAAAAATTAAAACTATAGGCTTTACAAATATAAATATATATACAGCATAGTATAATAATTAATTATTAATAAATATTTCATAAGATAAGAGCTACTCAATATTTACAAAATTTCAAAACAAGATGTCTCTATTGATCAAAATTATTGTCTTCGATCGACTATGCATACTGGGGTAAGATCCAGCTCTGTGGACTTTCCTGCCTGATAGGCGTTTTAATGAGTACTAAGTGGGTAAGTCCTGAGCGCCTCCCCCTTAATCCACTCATCCATAGTCATCCAATTCATCATGAAGTTTTCAGGAGGAACGATGTCAGACTTATTGGTCTGAATGATTGAGGTGTGGGTTCTTTGCGCCCCGCTTTATTGATATAGATCACCTCGGTAGCTGTCCAGCTTGGTGATATATCGTTCTACAACAGACTGACTCTGAAGAGTCTTATTAGGAATGGAAGAAGGATCAAAAGTCCGTTCTGTAGGAGAGCAGGGGAAATGCCGTTTTCCCCAGGCGATTCAAAAGGGTAGAATGATAGGACCGCTCTCTTTATGGCCGCCCCTGTAATTATTTTGTTGGCTGTCAACCAGTCTTCTCTTCCAGGTCGTTCTGAAGGCCATTCATCAACAGACTTCCTAGGAAGTGGTTCACTGCGAGAATCTCTAACGTTTCTCTTCTAGATTGTGTGTAGGATCCATTTGGTCATTTTATCGACCCTAACTCCTGCACACGCTCTTTTGACATGATCTTGTGGATTCGCGCGCTACTAGGCACATCTATTATGCCCTCGCATAGCTTCATCCAAGATTCTGTTTTTGCCTTTCTTATTGCTTTGTTGTAATTCGTTAGAGCAGCTCTATAGGTTTCCCAGTTACCTGTTGTTTTAGCTGGGTTAAACAATTTCCGAACTTCTTTCCTCAATTTATTCAGGTTATTGTTTTACCAGGGTGTGCTTCTGTTACCTTTCTTAACCCTTAATGGACAGTTTTCTTCGAAAGTTGATATGGTGGCATCCGTTATTCGGTTCGCCATGTAATCCAGCTGATCACGATCCGCTGATTTTCCTCCTCTTGCAGCGGGCAATTAGTTCTGCCACAATTCTGGGAGGAGGAGCTCCTGCGTCTCTGTCTCCGGGGAATTATGCTGAGCAGGCGATTAATTTCTTCCCCGGGAGGATCACATGGATGGTGGTAGTGTCCTCGTTGCAGAAGCTAGAAAGTACAAAGTAATTATTGTTGTTTCCGTCAAGTATGCATGCTGTCGGCCTTAGCCCGTGAGCATATTCCATTACCTTACCAGAAGTGCTGCCAAGTCCGCTTGTGTTTGATGTCCAAGATTCTTGAATCTATCAGCTCCTCATTAAAGACTTTGGTATGAACGGACGTGGCCGCTCTTGTGTGGCGCAGGTTTGCCTGCAGTATTTTTATTGACGAGGTCATTTTACTGTCCTGTCTGTGGCGAGAGGAGGTCTGTTAGGGACTTTAGGTCTCTTTTTTTCCTCCTTGCCGGTACTCTTTGTCAGGTTTTAACCCGGGATGGATTTACCCTTTTAGGGTTCTTTGGTCTGCTCAGTCGGTGGTTTTTCACCGCTTGGTATCGGTTTCCGCTAGAAGGCCCCGCCGCATCTGGTTTCTTTATAGGAGGGTTGTTTACCCCCTGTTTCTCCCCAGCATCCTCTTGAGAATCCTTGGCCTTGAGACGAAGCATTAACTGGCCGACGCCAAATTAAGGCCTGAAGTCCATTGACCTCAACTCCTCTAGGGATCCGTCGTCGATGTCCATGTCTGACCCATGCCCGAGCTTTCCCGATGTAGGATTATCCACTCTCGGGTGTTCAGGCCGTGGTTCATCTTCCTCAGCCTGAGTAGCACCTCCTCTGGCGCAAGGCGTTGACCGTCCTTGTCGTCATGGAGGAACATCACATAGACGTGAGGTATTGGCAGATCTACGCCTTTCACAACGCGTATTTCTGTCCCCACCCATGGCTTGAGGTCCTTTGTCGCACCCTCCAGCCATACCAGAGTGCTGTCGTCGGCACAGGTTATTTGCAGCCATCCTGAGCGATGAGTAAAGCCCTGGAATCGCACTTGCGGACCGCGGTCTGGCATGTTCGGCACAGCCTCTAGGAAGCCTGCTGCGCTGGGGTAATCAGGGGGGATAAGCCCCACCCTAGTAGTTCCAGCGACAGCCTTGTAACTTGGAGCAACAGCCCTAGCACGTTTACTTGCTTGTTCTGGGGTGCTAGTGTCGGACCGCTCTTGATAAAATGACTCAGGTTCCTTCTTTGATCCCCTGATAGTTTATGTTTATTTCTTTTTGTTTCGGTGCTCACTGCCTCCCGACTATCTCCTCTATCAGACCGCAACAATTCCTGTTCCTGGTCCGATGTTGGAGGTGTCTCTCCGGCCTCTGTTGCCAGAGTCGGATTCCCTACCTCCATTGTTTCCTCTTCAGGAATATCTGTGCTTTTATTTTTGTTATTGTTATCATATTAAAGTACAGCTGGTTGCCAGTGGCGTAGCTAGGCGTCGGCGACGTCGCCGACCGCCGACGGCCTCGCGCCTTAAGGAGCCTCGCAAAAAATAGGTTACCGAACCTAAAAATTGACACTTTTCGATTTTTCAAAATAAAACGTAGAGAACAAATAAACCTAATCCTATACCGGGTGACAATGAAACTACTACCCATGGCGGCATTTCTTAATGGCTCGAGATAGAAATATGCAACTCGGTTTGTTGATAGGGTTGAAAATTGTGAAAAATTTTAATAAAAAAACAATTGAATGTCTTCTCCGGTATTACCGGAAATGGCAGTTTTTACGTAAAATACAAACAAATAGGAATTACGACATATTTTTGAGCCACTCTATTTGAAAAACTATCAATTTTTGACATAGGGTATGTAAGTCAAAAGTTATTTAGAATTGTTCAGAGAGTCCAAAAATAAAAAAATATACAGGGTGTCCCAATTAAAATAACAAAGTCAATGCCATTTCCAGTGAAACCAGAAAAGACATTCAATTGTTTTTATATTAAAATTGTTCACAACTTTCAACCCTATCAACAAACCGAGTTGCATATTTCTATCTCGAGCCGTTAATAAACGCCGCCGTGGGTAGTAATTTCATTGTCACCCGGTATATACGAAAATTCTAAATATCATAGATTTCGCTAAAACTTATCAATTCTACTGCAAATTAACCTAGAACTCTCAAATCATATGGTTTCTATTTTTTTCGATAGGTTGTCGGAAAAAATTTAATGTTTTTACTAAATAGGTATTGTTATCAAATAGCATATGCTTACTACTACTACTAATACCGTTGATATGCCCGGAGGCGATTTCACATAGTATACCATGTAGAGAGCATCGAGTCTACAAGCTCCGCCCCCAAGCCTAGTCCAGCTTTGGTACAGTATAAACATGTGTGTAATGCGGTATAGAATGTAATCAGCAGTGCGCAAAATGGGTTATACTAGGTAATCGCGTCATACGCTCGCACGAGTCGCACGCGGGATAAGTATTTCAACCTATAACAAACCTGTATTTGGGCATTCAGACTATTTTTCATATAACTGTCACGTCGGATAGTGGCCTCAGTTATTTTTTAAATGTTGATGTCAATTTGTGCATTGCATCCCTTCTTCTGTTCCGCAAATTAGAACTGCCCTTTTTCTGTGCATTCTTGTTAAGGTTGTTATGCTGGACTTGGACAGACGGAAATTTTGCGAAAAGCTAATTTTTGTATACCTAACTATCCAGTTTCTATATGTATCGGCACTAAGCTTTCCTATAAAACTCTTAAATTCTGCAAAATCACTCCCCATCATTTACATCTAATTAGAGCGTAGAGCCTTATATTCTTGACAACTTTCAAATTCCAAAGTTTCTATTTCTATCTCAGGTTGTAGTTTTTTTAAATTAAATCTCTTTACCTAGTCTGCTCACCCATCTTGCTTTGTTTTCACTTCCAACACTCGCACACTTAACGAAAATGAACGATTGTATGTGAATCGTGGGTTCTAGAATCCCTCTGGATACTTTCGGAGTTGTCATGCTGCAGTGTGAACTAACCCAAACTATATTGTATTTTGTATTTGGCGCCCTAACTACATTCTATACCGCATTACAGATATTTTCATTTTTCAGAACCAAAGCTTGGGGGCGAAGCTTATAGACTCGATGTTCTCTACATGGTATACTATGTAAAATAACTGCTCAGAGACAGGGGCGTGACACTCAAAAAATTCTCGCCTTCGGCGGGTATCGCGTATTTTTCGGCGGGCCGGCCGGCGACTTCCCGTCCCTGCTTTTTTCACAAGAAATCCTATGGCCACCCCACCCTACATAAAAAAGGCCTCGCAATTCGGATGTCGCCGACGTCCACGTTTGGTTTGGCTACGCCACTGCTGGTTGGTAAGGGTTCAGCTGCCACCCATCCCTCGACACGAAAATTTCCATCTTGGATTGGCCGCGTGTCTCTCTTAGTTAGGATCCCCTACTCTATAAAACCCCACTGACCAAGGCACATGTCTATGGTCAGTGGGCATCAACAGTGGTGGGCTCTCTTAAGCCCCCCACGACACAAAAATGGGGAAACGCTGGAGGGGATTCTGGAACATTAGGCTGCTGAAACGTACAGGTAGCCAAATTTTGCACAAAAGAACAATGAAATGTACAATGTATGTTTGAATAATATAAAATGATTTGGAATACATGCTGCAGATCAATTCCTATTCGTATACGATAGGTCAACAATCTGTTGTAAGATGTGATAACCAAATAAATGGAACTGAAACTATATTAAGTAATATAAGCATTTGAAATTTTAGATAATAACAATAATTTACATATGCATTATACAGTTTAAACCAATATCACGATCGTAACAATATTAATTATTAAATTAATAATAAAATTACGCCGACCAAATAAGCTTGCAGACTACTGCACTTTTTATACTGCAGCGCAAGAACCATTTTCCGGAATATAAATAAATTAAATTCAATTTCAAAATAAAATTTGATGTACAATGCATCGATATCTGCAAAAACTTTGTTATAAAATAAATCAGCCCATTTATATGTATTGCAAAATATTTCAAGTTAATTCTCGCATCGAATATTTTCCTTTGTAGGTTTACAAAATTGAATTCTATTGCATAAATATTTACCTATATAAACAAATATAGACCTAAAATTTAAAAAAATAAGCACATTTCTAATGCAGGAAACACCTTAATTCGCAGGAAATTTAAAACTTCTCGAGGAGAAGCTTCATACAAATGATTGATGTGCAACATATAACCGAAAGTTTAATAATAAAGCATCTTCAAGCAAAACGTAAGAGAACGTTTTCAAGCTCCCTTGTGTTTTTCTTTATCTTTTGAAACATCGGGATATAAATTAAAACGTCAAGTAAATTTATTTTCATGTCATATTATTTGCGATTTTGGAATTTAAATAATACGTCATTACTTCCATAATTTTAGAGAATTTGATGGCCTTTGTTTTATTCTGGTTTTTGCATATACATTTGGCCTTTTTCCACTTTCATTGAATGAAGGAACACGCAAAAACCTTTTTTCTCTTGCCAGAAGGATCCTTTAATATAAAACATTTAAGTACACAAGGAACATCAATCACTTTGGATTGTTCGGGATTTCCTTAGAGTGGATTTCCTGCAAGTCGAGTACCTACATCGGCAATTCATTTTAATTGAGACTCGGAATGTAAAATGTTTTGTGCTACTTTCTATCCTTGGTGTAATAAAATTTTGACGGTTCAACTTGCGCACATATTTAAATAATTGGATTACCCATTAAAACTAGACATAAATTGTTGGTTTTTCATCCTCCGGAGGAGCTTAGTAAAATATCTCTGCAGCAATTAACTCTCTAAAGAGTTGTTCAAGCAGGATACTGATAACGAGTGAATTTAGTGGGTTTTGCTCAATCTTTTTCTCAGATCAATATCGTAATTGAACAGCTTATTAATGAGTAAATTGCTGCGGAAATCGCTGCAATCATCCTACAGAGTTCCACTCCATTATTTATGAAACTAAATATTCAGCAATTTGTTCAATCATTGACAGACTTACTCAGTTCACTCGTGTTCAGGTCAGTATTGCATTTGAACAGAACAGAAACAATACTGAAACAATACCCCGTAAAAGACCAGTACAACATTGTACAGGGCACCAAAATATTAGAGTGGTTGGAATAAAGCAAACAAGCTAAGCACTTCTCAGGATTCAGTGTTATATGGAGACAATAAGTCGGACAGGCCTGAGAGAGCGAGAAAAAATAAGTAGAACTCACTGCAATTCAATAATTTTTCGTCATCACTGGCATGAAACTTCCCTCGACGCTATATTCATCCTGTGAAAAAAACTTATTGTATAAAAAGTGTTTGTATATTCAACAAAGCACCCAACTAGTCTTTTCACACTGCAATTTGCCAAAACAGTCACTATACCAAACTTCACCTCCTATTCTAAATATAGCATGGCCTTGCATAAATAATAAACCATAGCCACTTCACAACAGAACACTCCGAGTATACACCGAGCTCTAAAATTTTATATTTTTTATGACTTGGAGCACGAGACATGGCGTATAATGGAAAAATGGAAACACAACTCTGGGGAAGAGTTCGGTCGAACATTTTTTTAAAACACTCACGTACATCCTCGGTGCTTTGTCATACTTCCTGGGGGCTTTCTATGTTTAATGCTCGTCCCGTTTTATGACACGCCACAAGAGGCTTTGGTGTATTGTGAGGTATCAACAGTTGATGGTTGAATAAATTATTCTGGGACGGATAGAATTTCAAAAAAATTGTTCAGTCTAGTACTTCAAGAGAAGCATGTAATTTAGTTACAGAGATGTGTACACAAACAATTTTAAGTTTCGAGATTTTAATTTATTATCATCCGTGTTCCTAATTAAAGCTGCGAGACTTAATTTAACTATTCAAGTTCTACATAATAATTAAGTTGCAAAATTAAGGGCAGACATTTTAGAATAATGCCTCTACGTGATACTTAGTTTTCGAATCATAATTTGCAGTAGGTAGTTCCTTGGAACTAGAAGATAATTGCTTGTTTATTTGAACAATTTGTCGAGATCACTATAAATCATTGACTCAGCTTTTTTGGATTGTGTTCATATCAAAGGTAACCTTTCGACATACATACTTCGTAGCAGTGGCGGCGCTTGGATGCACTGGGCCCCTAAGCAAATATCACAATGGGTTTTATTAATGGCAAATTGATCAACTAAAAGAAACAATTAGTAGGTAGAGGCGGAAGAAAAATTTTTGATTAATATCAACTTAGGAGCTGCTAATGATCATTCGAAATTTTGATTATTATCGGGTTTTGAGCTTTGAATGCCCTTAGAAAAATTCTCCAGCGAATCCAGAGTTGATAAAAGTTCAA